TTTGTCACTGTTGAACTTCATTTTGTTAGTTTTGGCCCATCTCTCTAATCTGTCAAGATAGTTTTGAATTCTGCTCCTGTCCTCTGGACTATTGACTATCCCTCCCAATTTGGTGTCGTCTGCAAACTTGATGATCCTGCCTTCTAGCCCTTCATCTAAGTCATTAATAAAGTTGTTGAACAGGACCGGGCCCAGGACGGAACCCTGCGGCACTCCGCTCATCACTATATGGCCTTCTAAAATGTGGAAAGTGTTTTGTTGTGCGTAGCCTCTGCTTCTGAAATAGTTTGTTGTTGCTGCTGCTGCTGTTCTTGTTATTCTGTTTTTTTCCTCTAAAGGAGACTTTTAAAAAGGTTAGTTTGGCCTTTGAAAAGATTTACCAGTCCAACACTCTCATTTGTATGCATTCATATCTGTTTTCTTTGCTATACATAGGAAGATTATTACCAGTACAAATATAAACAAAGCAAACCTCCATTTAATTATGTAATGATATCCCAAGATGGTGTATAACTTTGAAAAAAACACTGAAACATATGAAAATACAAGCATTTAATGCACAAACATTAAATAATCAAAACATGTACTATCAGAAAGGAGACAATTAAAAAAATGTGAGCTACCATGAAGAACACCTAGTTCCCGTCTACTGCTAGACTGGTAAAATATAATCTAAAATGCTGTTTTCATAAGGCTTGTTTTCCAGCAATTAAGCAAACCCAAGTCTTTGGCCATGATGTTTTTGTGGGCAGCCACATGCATTCTTGGAGGAAATGGATTATTTCAGTCAAAGTGTCAAGTCATGGTTTAGGATGGAGGTATGATAGTCCTTAATGATCCTGCAATTGCCTTTTTATACCATCGGTCATGTCATTAAATTACATTGATCCTTTGGGAGATAGTGTTATCCATGTATCCATTCAGCCATGGATACTCATTGGGTGACCTTAAGTGAGTCACACACTTTCAGTCCCAGGATATTCCATTAGTCGGAAATGATTTGAAGGTGCACAACAACAACAATTGACAACTTTATACCATATGGAAACCACAGCCATTGGACAAATGTTTGAAAAGTATATTTTTAAACCCTGTTAACCTGATGGGTGCCCCTGGTGGCACAGTGGGCTAAACCACTTAAATGCTGAACTCACTGACCAAAAAGCTGGTGGTTCAAATCCAGGGAGCATGGTGAGCTCCTGCTGTTAGCCCCAGCTTCTGCCAACCTGTCACTTTGAAAACATGTCAATGTGAGTAGATCAATAGGTACCACTCCAGTGGGAAGGTAACAGCACTCCGTGCAGTCATGCTGGCCACATGACCTAGGAGGCGTCTACGAAAAACAGTGGCTCTTCGGTTTAGAAATGGAGATGAGCACCACCCCCCAGGGTTGGACACGACTAGACTTAATATCAAGGGGAAACCTTCACCATTAAAATATTAAACTGATAGGGTAACAGTGTTCTTCTATCAGACTGGTGAGGAAGATTCTATTCATGTAATAGTATCCAAATTTTCAATTGTTCTCAATTTTTTAAAAGAACTAATTAAATGGATTTCCTTTGTAAATCAAACAGATCCATAATCTCAGATCTGGAAAGTATGGCTAATTAAAAGAACTACAATATTCATTTTCTTTCTTTTCTTTCTTTTTAAATAAGTAAACAGAATTAATAGTGAGATTGTGTTTGGACACTTTAAATTTACCTTGTAAGAAGACCAATTCACCACTAGAGGGAGATCCTGCACTTTGGTAAATACTTTAGGGGCAATGCACAATTGATGGTGGCTCAACTTGAATAGCTTTCTTGCAATTATCATCAAGAGATGTAACCATGGTCTTTAGCCAAGGGGTTGTAGGAAGCAGAGGGGGAGTCGTTTCCATTTGTTAAAATGTACTTATTATACATAACATAAAATATAGAATGTAAAGCGGAAGTGTTTGTAGTAGACATAAGACTATTGGGGCCAATCAAAATTTGCCATCAAGTCAATTTCTACTCTTGACAAACCTATGAATAAGAGTCTTCCAAGGGATGCCAACTGCCCAGCTTGGGTCTGATACATTCAGGGCTATAAATTCCTTGATTGAAACTGGTGCTGTTATGTATTTCCAAATTGTTTCCAATTTATGACAACACTGTGGATCTACTGTGTAGAATTGTTGTTGTTGTTGTTGTTGTTATTCTTTATAACCAGCTCTCTCTCCCCAAGGGGACTCAGGGTGGTTACAGGAATAAAAAATGGCAAACATTCAATGCCAAAACCAAACAGACAATCAAAGCAAAACATACAGTGAGATAAACTCAATATAACTTGTAACAATCAAACAAGGATTGACTCAATGAACATAAAACATAAAATGCAATTTGACACCACATTAACTGCTATGGCTCGATTCTATATAACCTGGGATTTGTAATTTGGTGGGGCATCAGCATTCTTTGACAAAGAACACTAAAGAACTTACAAAACTACAACTCCCATGTTTTTATAGCATTGAGCCATGGCAGTTAAAGTAGTATCAAGCTGCATTAATTCAATAGTATAGATGCTCCCCGTGTGTGCATCATTTGCTCAAGGTCATCCAGTAGATTTCTATAGCTGAATGATGGGTTCCAGACTCATGGTCCAACTCTCACACCATTACAACATGCTGAATGAATCTATGCACCTGTAACGTCATCTTCTTTTCGCCCTCTTTTCCAACTTCTTTTCCCCTTATCAATCATTACTGCGTTGTCTTTTCTAATGAGTCATGTCTTCTTGTGATACATTGAAAGCACAACACTGTCAGTTTAATCATCTTGGCTTCCAGTGAGAGTTCAGTCTGATTTGCTGTAGGACCCATTTATTTGTTTTTTCATAGTTCATGATATGCGTAGAAGTCTCCTCCAGCACCATATTTCAAATAGATTGATTTTCTTCCTGTCAGCTTTCTTCACTTTCAACTTCCAAACTCATGCATAGAATAGGAAATGCAATGATGTGGATGATCCTGATTTTCATCTATTGATATGTCGGTACACTTGAGGATCACATCAAATTCCTTCATCACTTCCCTTCCAAGTGCTTTGACACTGTTGAATTAATGCAGTTTGACACCATTTTAACTGCCCTAGCTAATACAGTTTAACACTACTTTAACTTTTATTGAGCTATGATGAAGTGGTACATTGCTTCTACAGTATGTATGAACCTGAAGATTTGGGAGTTGTAGTTTTACAATGCCTTCTCTGCCAAAGACTGTTGTTACCTCACCAAACTACAAATCTCCGGACTCCATTGTAAAGTGGTGTCAAGCTGCATTCATTCTACAGTGTAGATGCACTCCAAGTCTTCTTCTGATTCCTTGACTGCAGCCTCTAATTCGGTTATAACTGAACCTGGGTATACAAAATGTTGAGTTCTTTCAATGTCTTTTCTGTAAGTAATCACTCATATATTTTATATTGTTGATGTTGCTCCACTAGCTTGCATATCTTTCTTTGAATATATATATAGGTATATAATCCTGTTTCCAAACATGTTCTGTATATAAATTTAAAAGCTCAGGTAAAAAAAAGCAGACTTGTCTAATCCCTTTGTCAATGGGAAATATCCTGACAGCGGCTTCTGGTCCAAAACATCAAGACAATCAGATGTGTGTACACCAATTTGTCATGAACTATGAAGTCAAAATCTTTGCTTTGATCTATAAAGTCCCTTTGGATCTTATTCTGAAAATCTTTGGTATCTTTCATTAGCTGGTGTATGTTTGCTATATGATCTCTAACATGTCTTCATTTGTTAATCTCAGCTTGCATGCCTGGCATGTTTCACTTCATATACGTAAAGGTAAAGGTTTCCCCTGACATTAAGTCTAGTCATGTCTGACTCTGGGGATTGGTGCTCATCTCCATTTATAAGCCAAAGAGCTGACATTGTGCATAGACACCTCCAAGGTTATGTGGCCAGCATGACTGCATGGAGCACTGTTATCTTCCCGCAGAATCAGCACCTATTGATCTACTCACCTTTGCATGTTTTTGAACTGTTAGGTTGGCAGAAGCTGGTTCTAACAGTGGAAACTCAGCCTGCTCCCCAGATTCGAACCACCAACCTTTTGGTCAGCAAGTTCATCAGCTCAGTGGTTTAACCCACTGCACCACCAGGGGGCCCTCACTTCATATATTGTAACATTATTTCTTGGAAAATCTCAAGTATCCCTTTAATTGCATGGGAAATCATTTCAATAGTTGGATGGTTACTATAATCACTGGTGAATCCTTTTCATGGGAATTGAGATACATATTGAGTGCTTCTAGTCTATGGGCATTATTTGTTTTTCATATTTGTTGGCAAATGATTTTTTGGAGCTATACTTACGGTTTAGGCCAGTGCTTCTTAAAATGTGGGTCTCAACCCCAAGTGGTCCCCTTAGCACAATGTTGGGAGTCCCGTAGTTTGCCAACAGTAAAAAAAAAATTGAACATCACCTAGTGGTTGTACACAAATCAGTTGTGCAGTATTTACAGTGGACTCTGAAGTAGATGCTTCAGTTGTACTTTATCAAAAGAAATATCAGCCTTCTTAGCAACCTTTGCAAATGCTGATTTGTTGTATGTAAAGGTTTGATTTTTATACCTATTTTATATACCTATATACCTAGAATCACATAAACTCTCTTGGGCCCAAAGGGGTTCCAAGTGGATACGTTCAAGAAGTCCTGGTCTAAGCAACAAAGGCATATCCCTTTTGATCAGCATGGCATCAACAATGATATGTTCTTTCTTCCCTGTACTCATCTTGCCTTGAGTCCTTTTTCTTCAGTGCTGATCATTTAATACTGAGAAGCTGGATTGTTCATAACCAGTCCATGGTACCACTGCAACCAAATTAATATCTCGGATTGAATGTACAGTACTTCTGTTTGAAAATGTGAAGACAGATCACTGATGTGTCTTAGTACCAGGTTTCTATAACAACAAAGCAGCCTCTCAAATAAGTTTCAAAAGATGTAGTTTATACTGAGATTTATTCCTTTTTTTTGTTAGATTCCCCAGGGGGTGGGGGAGAGAAATCTAGACACAAAAGAATTTACAAACTGTTTTGTCTGATTCAAACTTCTGAACCAGTGTTGTTGACTCTGATAGGAATCAAAGTTTCCGTGGTTTGAAGCATTTTTTTTCCTGGCTTTGCCTGGTAGTTTCCAAAGTAATTTCTTAACGAACAGGCTTAACATGGTATGGTGTGATATCTAGACTGTGTTGATTGCATTTGCACACAGTCTCATACTCTTTAATGTTGCTAAGTCCCCCACTCCTTCTAGGTGAGAGGCTCACCTAGATAAAGAAGGTTTCCTTCAATATGTAGTTGTTCTTGTATGCCTTTGAGTCATTTTTTACTTATGGCAACCCCAACACAACCCTAATCACAGGTATTTGCCATTGCTTTCCTTGAGATTAAAAGAATATGACATGCCCAAAATAATCCAGTAGTTTTCATAGCACATCAGGATTGAAACCCTGGACAATTAATAATTTTAGCCCAAATTTCAAAGAATTACAATACACCATTGCTGGATAAAAGGATATTTCTCAATTGCAATGATATTCTATTAAAGGGAAATAAACTTAAATTGTTATTTATCATCCAAATTTCACATATGCAAACTAGGATGCATGTGGTTAAACCACACCAGAATGTGGTTGGGACAGCTAAAGATATGAAGAAGAAAGAACAAACAAACCAGGAAACACTACAGTAGTTTGCTTTTTCCCAAGCCTCCTGGGAAGGGCCTTTACCATTATCACCATCACCCGGTTAACTTGGTGCAAACTCATTTCCACTATGAACTCAGTTTGCATCAAGTGAAATAAGCTGAGAACAAAGGGGAAAACTGGGAGATGAACCTGGGCCATTTGGAAACCTGGGCCATTTAAAAAAAAACAGGTCTCAGGACAGTACTTGCCGAATGGGGACAGTTTGAGAGTTTAAGAATGCGTGCTCAGGTCTATGCCCATTTGTAGCTGTACAATGTAATTTGCCCTTTGACATTCATTTAATTTCCACAGTTCTCTTGCCTTACAACATTAGTATTTGATGAGTGAGGAAAATAGGAAGAGAGAGAAGAGAAGCAATCGGGGAGCAGGGAAAAAGACACAGGAAAGTGCTTCCTTCCCCTGATTCCTATAGAAATCATTGAGTACTGACCTAAATACTCTAGTTTGCTGCCAAGATCAATACTCTATTCTCTCCAACTAGAATTCCCTTGTTTCCCAAGATTTTAAGATTAAAAAACACTGTAGGTCAGAGTTTCTATTTTAGAAGCATCCCAGAGCATGACATTTCAAAGCCAAAGCCTAAAAAGTAGGGACATTCATTCTTGATAATACAACAGATGGCACATAGTGATGTCATTCAAATGCTATATTAAACATTAACCACCGTTGCTCAAGCCACATAATTCAACTAAAAAGCACCAAGTCTGAGGTGTGAGGAAATTTTTCTCTAGTTGAAAAGTAAACATTTTCATACATTACACTGAGCAGAAGAGAGCCCCACATTTTCCTCAGTTGTTTTAAAAAAGAAACATTGGTGTGATTACACTCAGCACTCCAAATGCACAGGTTTTGCTTTTGCAGTTCTGCACATTTGTGTATTGGCCAGTCCTCCTGGATGGTGGTGGTGGTGGTGCTTTGAAATTGATGTATCATCCCCACTCCTGTTATGCTTGTTCATAGCATGTGTAAAAGAAAAAATAACTTGATTCTTCATATCAAAATCACCTCCTTTTACAATGTATTAATCCCAGAAGTTAAGAAAATTGCCTTCTGGAGGTAAGAACCACCGCAGAGGAATGGATTTTTGTTGGGACAACTGTATAGAAGGAAACAATGAACCCCCATTTTAGTTGTTATTAAAAATGAAATGACAGCATTTCAACTTCAATGTCATGTTGTTTGGACTTTTGGTTCAGATGGTCACTGCCAAGCCTTGTCAAGTCTAGTCACAGTCTTATTTAGGTCCAGGCTCCAAGGAATGTCTATGGCATCATCTATCTTTATGCCAAATTATCCTGCAGCATTTGGAATTTGCTTCAGTCATTTGCTCTTTTTAAGTATTAGCTTTTACTGTTCGATGACATTCAGCATGGTCACGTCTTAGCCACAGTTGTAAAAAAGATGGTCATGCTTACGCATACACCTTCCCTTTACCTCTCATAAAGATAAGTCATTTCATTTTTAAGGAAGGAAACATGCCACACACCAAAATGCAATTTTGTACAAGAACCAATTTCCTTTGTTTTGAGATAGCTTCTGTTTATACATGAGTCACTAGCTTGGGCTACAAACGTCATCACAGTGTACATCCCTACAGTGAATGCAAGGCACATATTTCACGTAGCAGGTATGCTGGCCTGAGGGAGCATATGATACCCTTTTGTGTTAAAATATTACACCAAAGGCTGCTCTAGAAAGAAAATCAGTGAAGTTCTAATGAAGACATTATGGCCTCAAGAAGCTGCTTTTATTCCCTGGTACACCTACAATGTAGGAAGTGCTAGGTGATCAAAACATGATATGGAAAAATAAATATCTCGAGTATAAAAAAGCAGGCAAATATATCATTTCAATTCTTTTACAGCAGCCAGCATAGCACTACAGAGCTTCCATCACCGCAAACCTGTATGTGTGTGGTCAGAAGCCCCACCAGTGATGTCACTAGGGTTGGTGTCACCCAAGTGCATTAACTTATGGTGTCAATCCCTCTAAGCAAGCAGCCACCCTGCAGCCCCAGTGAATAGGAATCTTAGCACTGGAAGAGATCCAGTCTTGGTTGCCCCACATTTGCAGAAAGGTATGAGGGAACCTGGACTGGGATGCCTAAGAACCCCCACAGGCCAAAAGGTGGGGAGGGAGATGGATGGCACTGATGTTAACCCAGGCGTCAGGTGCTCCTCCCACATTTGAGATACAGAGTTCAGGGACAGACTGAGGGTGAAAGGAAAAGTGATAAAAGGTGGGATGAAAGCTAGACCTCTACTTTCCTCTTCTTGCCCGCCTTGCCACTTCACCTGGTTTCACCCCAATTGCCTGCCACATGACTACTTGTGTTACTCCCCTTCCTCTGCCTTGCCCTCTTTTATGCCCATCCTCCAGGCACAATCTTTCTTCCCTGCCCAGCCAGCAGCATGGGCAGCCCCAATGGAAGGAGGTGGCCGGGGGGGGGGGGGGGTCTTGAGGCAGATATGAATGACCACCCCACCAGGCTCTTCCCATGGTGTCAGCCAGTGCAGTCCATGCCCACTGCACCCACCCAGTAACACTACTGTGTCTTAATAAGATTTCTTTCTTGGGAAGTGAGCCTGCTTTCTGAAATCTTACATAAACATAGTCTTTAAACCCAAACAGAAGTCCAGTCAAATCCCAACAGCTATAGTGGCTTCACCTGGATCACATTAATTTTTGTCTCAGAATATTTGGTACTGACATCTATTTGCTCTGTGTCATCGCTGGTGATTATGAAAATGATTGAAGAAGAGCTGAAAGTCACTTTCTTCTTTGGCCTGTCCCCAGCCTTCTGGGACATGACAATAGGCCTGATAGGTTTGTCGCTTCCGATGGCCGGTCTCTCTTTCAAGGTCCTCTTGAATCTCAGGAATCGCACACAAAAAAGCTGCACAAGGCATCGGCGAAACTGCAAGGGGACAAAATCAGAAGCCAACAAGTGTTCAGGAAGAGGCAATATTTTCAGACACAGTATATTCAAAAGTGGCACAAGTGACACATAAAATCAGCACAGGCATACCTCATTTAACAAATCATCTGATGACAAAGCTCTCTCTCTCTTTTTTACACAGGCTTTCTGTACATGCCCAGTCACCTACTTTTCCTCACTGATAAATAATGGAAACCTCCTCAGGTTGGTTGGTAACTGTTTCCTTCCAGCCACTGCCCTCGGGCCATTTTTGAAACAGAGACTGTTTGTTTTCACAGTAGGATCTCAGCTAATTAGGAACTGCATGCAAATGAGGCTGTTACAGGATCAGATAACTAAAGATTATGCTACAAATGATTGAAGATTAGGGAGGGCCAGTTCATTTTTTATGCTTTTAATCAGAGCAGGAAAAACAGAAAACTTTGAATTGCTATGCAGCTTGTACTGCCAGAACAGCTTAGCAAGATGTTTTTAAGGCGGGTGAAGGGAGAAGGATCAGTTCATTTGTCATTTCCCCTTTACCATCCCCTCCCAGTAATTTTGAATATTTGTGCCAGAACTTTCTCTGCCCCTAGAAAACACCTCCTAAAATATTTTTCTATACATATCTGCATACTAATATTATTTGCTGTTTACTCCTCTCAGAATGTAGACCTTTTTGCAGTTATTCTAGGATTTGTGAGAATCATTCTGCAGCACTTAGCTGCCCAATATATTATAGCTGCGTCCATGATTGTTTACAGGTTGAGCATCACTTATCCAAAATGCTCCAAAATCTGAAAATAACCACTGTGTATCTGAGATAGTGGCACCTTTGCTTTCTCATAGTTCAATGTAAACAAACCTTGTTTCAAAATTACTGAAAATATTGTATATGAAATTACCATCAACGTATGTGCATAAGGCATATATATATTAATTAATTTCATGTTTATATATAGATCTATCTCCAAAATATCTCATTATGTACATATAAGCAAGCCCAGGTATTAAAATGGCCATTTAAATGGCCATTTCAGTGCATTTACTGTATTTTAGGGGCTATGGTGGCACAGCGGGTTAAACTACTGAGCTGCTGAACTTGCTGACTGGAAGGTTGACAGTTTGAATCCATGGGATGGGGTGAGCTCCCATTGATAGCCCCAGCATCTGCCAAACTAGCAGTTCGAAAACATGAAAATGTAAATAAATAGGTACTGCTTCAGCACTACAGGCAGTCATGTCGGCCGCATGATCTAGGAGGTGTCTATGGACAAAGCTGGCTCCTCGGCTTAGAAATGGAGGTGGGCACCACCCTCCAGAATCGGACTCAACTAGACTTAATGTCAAATGGAAACCTTAACCTTTATATTCTGTATTTTAATTCTGCTTTTACCACACTGTTACTATATAATTGGTTTTTTTTTAACTTTTGTATTTTTTTTAACTGTCCAGTGTGGATAGATGTAAGCCACCTTGAGTCCCCATGAGGAGAAAGATGGAATGTAATAATAATAATAATAATAATAATAATAATAATAATACAAAAAATACAAAATTTCAAACACCTCTTGACTCAAGTGTTTTGGATAAGGAATGCTCAACCTGAAGCACTCTACCTTATGCTAGAAATGGACACCCTTTGACCTTCTGGATGTTTTGGATTTCAACTCACAGCAGTCTCATCCATCATGGCTAATGGCAATGAGTTATGTGAACTAAAAAAGTACCTAAAGGACTAAAGTTTCTATTTAAGCATTTTTACATGTTCCTAGGATTTATACAGTGTCCTTTAATATTATATACTGTGATGTAATAGAGTGATACGAATAATCTAAAATCTATAGAAGTGATAGTTTACGGATAAAGATTGCCATCAAAATGGGGGGGGGGGGAATTTAAGAAATCCAATGTACCTTAGCAGGTAAAATCAATAATATTGTTATTCTATATAATATTTGGCCCAAATCCAGCACCATTGTTGTTATGTCTGACAATGTTCCTCTTTCCAAACTTACCTTTACAGCTTGGCAGTTCCCAGACCAAACTGTTCCTGAGATGATGAAGAGTCGAGTGCTACAGGGTGACGTCTACAACATCTCCTGACTGTGGAGTGCCTTGAGAACAGGATGCTAGAGAGACCCCTCAAGATCCTGCCAAAATCTCTTGCCTCTGGGCACTCCATGGCCAGAGAATGATGTGGATGTCATTCCTAGCATGATGGTAAGTTTGTTCATTCATTACTGTAAATGTGAATCTTCAACAGTTACAATGTCATAAATCTGGCTTATGTCATTGTAAATGAACAGGAGTGCCAACCTCTAGATTTGTAGAAATGACATTTATATATTTTTTAAAGATGGCTATCTTATGTTAGAGCACCACTTTGTATTCTGTTGTTTAAGGATGATTTCACCATCTAAGTCAGGGGTCCCCAAAATAAGGCCCGCAGGCCAGATGAGGCCCTTCAAGTCCATTTACCCGGCCCCTCCCCTAAACTTTAAACTTAGGGTTGCACTAAGTCTGAAATGACTTGAAGCCACACAACAACAATCCTAATTAACTTGACTATCTCAACAGCAAAAAGCAGGCCCACACTTCCCGCTGAAACACTGGTAAGTTTATATTGGTTAAAATTGTTCTTAATTTTACATATTATATTGTTCTTTTATGGAGGTTGTTTTTGCACTACAAACAAGATATGTGCAGTGTGCATAGTAATCCATGTATGTTTTTTTTAAAACTATCATCCGGCAGCCCTCTCCCAATAGTCTGGGGACTATGAACATTAAAAGTTGTGGACCTATGATTTGTGTTATGCCTATGTAACTCGAAAAACACATCCAACTATGTGTTTTATTGTAAAACAGGTGGAGAAGAAATGGAAAGGAAAGACAATTCTGCTAAAAACCTGCCCAGTGTTGAATAATTAAAATGAGATTAATTAACATGCATCCTGTTTGCATGCAAAATCTTATTCATGCTGGTCTCCAACAGACTGGCTCAATTCTGTTTCCAAAGTGAGTGGAAATGACTCTTTTCATGTACCTTATGGGACAGTGGCAGTGTGTATGTGGCTAGAATCTTCTACTGATGTTTCCCACTTTCTGGACTTAAGCTGGAAGAAAGAGGCCCTATAGTTCATTGTGAATTAACTGGGATAATTGTGAAGTTTGCTAGTAGTGTTCATTTATGTGGCTTACCTTTCTGCTCATGAAAATGTAGATAACTGGGTTGTAGGCAGTGCTTGATTTGGCAAAGAAGGATGGGACAATGGCTACTGTTGGAGTTATAAGGTGGCCATACCCATAGGCTATTAGTAGAGAGACCACAGCATAAGGCATCCAACAAATAAGGAAAGTTGTGACCATTAAAAAACACATTTTAGCCACTTTCTTCTCGTATCTTAGGATCTTGATCACTTGGATAGACTGCAAGTCTTCAACACATCGAAGCTGGAAAGTAAAGAAAAATATGGAAAATAATCAAGCAGCATTTCAACTAATCATATAGCTCCTATGTTTCTCTTTTCCAAGCATTAAACCACAATACTTTCCATTACAAGGGACACCACTCCATATGCAGCTATCCTCCTGTGTATACCATAGTACCATGGAAATCATCTGGAACAAGATGCTGGAGCCCTTCTTGTTTTTGAATGAAACTTTCCCTCACCAGCCAGGAATGTACTCAGTTTAACTAAATAATGTAATGGCTTCTGAATTTAAGATGGAATATAGAAATATTTCAAATTCCTGTTCCAGGGGCAGATCAGCATACCATAAAAGAAGGAGGAAGATTGCTTTAAGCTCTATAACAATCTCTCTTCATGTCTAGATGTGCTGTGTTATGAGGGATGGGAAATAGCTGCACATGGCATCCAGGTCAGTGACACTTCGGACTATGGAAATGTGGCTCTTGTATAGTTATGGCTAGACAAAAGGCGAGTGGGTAGAGAATACATTCTCTAAAAACAAACAATCCTTTAGACCAGTGGTTCTCAACCTGTGGGTCCCCAGATGCTTTGGCCTTCAACTCCCAGAAATCCTAATAGCTGGTAAACTGGCTGTGATTCCTGGGAGTTGTAGGCCAAAATACCTGGGGACCCACAGGTTAAGAAATACTGCTTTAGACAGCCCTTCACTTGAATGCTTAGTTTTATTACAGCCAAGTTAACATGTTGGAGTTATAAGGTGACTCTTTCCTTGGGTTATTAGTAGAGGGACCACAGTATGAGGCATCCAACAAATAAGACAAGAATCTGAAATTCATAAATCAAACATTATGTGTAACATACTGTATTGTTTTAAGTGGTCTAATTCTCTGCTCAGTCTTCTCCATCTAGCCATGACTGGTTTGTAACTGAGACAACAGGGTTTGATTCCTTGCTGGACTATTAAAGTCTACTGGGTGACCTTGTGCAAGACACACTCTCTCAGCCTCAATAGAAGGCAATAGCTTTTTACAAGTTTGTGTGGAAAGCATATGCAGATAGAAGAGGTTTTTCCTTTCATAAAGTTGCCGCCCACATATTCATGATGAAGGAAATGGTAACAGACGATGGTGGAACTAGCATGCTACCTTACTTCAGAGAGATTTCTAATGCCTAAATAGGATTGATGTTTAAGGAGAAAAGTTCCCAAGTAATAATAGATGGGAAAAAATGGCATATCTCACCTGCCTGATGAACTTGGCGGTGATGTGATGCTTTTTTGAAAATATTTGAAGAAGTTGAACTGAGCTACATTTAGCAAGGTGATATATTCAGAGATCATGGCAGAAAGTCTTAACAGATTTATTATAGCACAAAAATTCACAGGCTACTGATAAAGAGAACTCTAGTCCATAAAAAGGTACGCTGCAATAAACACTAATCTTTAAGGCACCCAAATTCACCATTATACAAATATAACATTGCAAGAAACACTCATGCCACATGTAGGCATAAGTACAATATATCCTGAAAGATTTCTCAAAGAGATGTCCTGCAGTTTCCATTAGCATTTGAAATTTTATGCATTTTATTGTTGTTGTTGGTGGGTACCTTTATGTCATTTCTGACTGACTTCTGGCAACCCTAAAACATGGAGTCTACTGAGGTTAAAAGTGTGTGTCTTTTGGGGATTCAGACTCTGATCTCCAGAGTCATTGTTTTTTGTTTTTTGTTTTATTTATTTTGGTCAAACAAGTAGAGTATAACATAACCACTTTCCCTCATGAGGAAGTTTAGAAGATACCATAGGCAACGTATACTATATATATAAACAATTTAACAAAACAAAGATGAAAAAACTTCATATGTAATTGCCCTCATCCCCTTTTGTATAAATCCCTTTCCCACAATTTTCCCCTTCCCCCTCCCTCTCCCGTTTACCCCCCCCCCCCCTTCGCCTCTGAGAACATCATACAGATAGTCTGGTTCAATTTCTTTTATTTTCTGTTACCCTTTGCCTTGCCTATCAGTTCTACTAATTTCCCTTCCCATTTTCCCCTGGGGCATCCACTGCTATATTTATATTTTTCCTATCTGATGTAATCTTGAAGCACATAGTCTCCTAAAAATTCATATCATTTTTGTATATCTCATTTTTGTATGTTTTTCCATCCCAGGACAACTGTAGCTTGGGCCACAGCTAGCATATATTTAGGTTTCTAGACCCAATTTTTATTGCTGCTTTTTCCTTCCAATTTCAGGGTAAAAAACTGTTTCTTATTCCATCTTATTTATTTTATTTTATTTGCTCTAATGATGCGTTCATTTCCTCCTTTATTTTTCTATAGAATTCTTGTACCTTGGCACAGTCCTACCACACATGGATGAGTGTTCTGGTTTCCCCACATTCATGCCAACAGCTTTTAGATGCTCTTTTTGTAATATAGGCTATTTTCTGAGGGAATCCTATACCATTTGTCAGCATTTTCTGTTGCATTTCTTTGATCTCTCAATGATTAAGTTTTTTATTAAATTTATCCCCAGTTCTAAGTCCTTCTGATTACAGTTTATTTCCTCTTTGCATACTTCTAGCAGGGTGGGTTTCAAATTATATTGGTTATCTATTAGTTTGTTATATAAAAGGTAAAGGTTTCAAATTGGCATTAAGTCTAGTTGTGTCCGACTCTGAGGAATTGTGCTCATCTCAATTTCTAAGCCAAAGAGCTGGCCGTAAATGGCAATGTCCGTAAATGCCTCCAAGGTCATGTGATTGGCATGATTACATGGAGTGCCGTTACCTTTCCACCAAAACAGTACCTGTCAGTCTACTCATATTTGCATGTTTTTGAACTGCTAGGTTGGCAGAAGCTGGGGCTACTGCGGGAGCTCACCCTGCTCCCTGGATTCGAACCACCAACCTTTTGGTCAGCAAGTTCAGCAGCTCAATGCTTTAACCCACTGTGCCATGGGGGCTCCTTAGTTTGTTATATTTAATTCCTTTCCCTTTCTCAGTTTTCCATTGTAATATTTGATCTAAATCTGTTTCTGGGCTTTCCTTCTTTTTCCACTCTATAAACTTTTGCGACATTCTGTGCCATGACAACCAATTGCTTGACTCACGTTTGTCTCTTAACTCCCCCCAGTCTTGTGTTGTTCCATCAAAATTTAAAAAATCCCCTATTTTTGTTATGTCATTTTAATTTTAATTTATTATAACTTTTCCATATATCTGATATTTTTATTATCCAGTATTCATAATGGGAGTCTGTTTATTTTGTTCAATGGAAGTTTATTTTGCCATTTTCCCAGCATTCTAATGTTGAATAGAATCGGCTTCCTTTTATTTTCTCTCTGTCTTGACTGTTCATCCATTCCTTTAGGCATGAACAGTGGTTCCACTCATTTATTGACTTTTCAATTCTTACCCATCTATTTGTATTGTCAAACTCTTATTCTAATAGTTTCACTAGTTGGCATGCTTCAAAATAACTTTGTAGGTTGGGAGCTCTCTATCCTCCATTTTCTTGCAGGGAGTAAAATGACAAATTGGATATTTTACTTTTATTGACTCCTACCACCCAGGTTTTTATTGATGTGTTCTATTTTTTAAATTATTTAATTGGTATATTGAAAGGTAACACCTCGAAGAGGAATAAAATTTTTGGAAGAATCGTCGATCCTAGAGTCATGGTTCAATGCACAAACTATTTCACCATGCTGGCTCCATAAAAATATAATACAACTTTATGTATTAATTAAAGTGTGATATTACTGTTACCACATAGCAACCTCGTTTACTACATTAAAATTCTTCAAAAAATATCATACTCATGTAATAGGCTGATGAAAATATTGTGGACATTATCGAATTATTCACTGATTCCTCTCATTTGTCTTTAGTAATCACATCTTATTTAAACACACAATTACAAGCAAGTGTACTCAAGAGTAAATACCACGATGCAATTATCTCCTTTGTAAATGTATTCAGTGTCACCATCCTCACTTCAACTGCATTTTTACTGATCTGTATCCTTGTGATGAACTTCAGGTCTGTTCTGGAATCATTATTTATTCCTCCCTCTAAAAGACTGAATGCAGCCATTTGATGTAGTGAATCTACTTATTAAAGATGGTCAAATCATTATCTGAAGCCACCTCACTCCAATTCCCCAGCCGTATTCTCAATTCCGTGATTCATTCTCTTTCCCTTTAGGGCAGTGAAACTGGATACTGCAGCAATACATTTTTTAAAAGGTTCAGAATCGTTCTGTACTAGGAAATGTCTTCAAACCAAGCAGAGCAAATTCAGCTACTACCTTCTGCTCTTACGCAAAACATCAGGACATGCTGTATTAAGGAGAATGTGATGTGAAAAAAAGTAAGGCAACATTTTGAAAAGTCTGGCATACTATACATTGTCCACAGAAACAAATACCAATATTCACATTTTTCATGTTTTAGTCATCCAAGTTTTATTTATTGATTTAAAATTGGGAAAGAAACAATTGATCTAGTCAACTCACCATTCGTATCGCATGAAGAATATGCCCATAGCAGTAAGCCATGATTCCAACTGGGGCTGCTAGACAACCAAGAAAGAAAAATAGAACAAAGGAGGAATCGCTGGGCTCTTTTGACCTCCAGTCCACTGAACAACCTAATCCATGTATTTCTAGTGTGTAATGGTTCCAGCCAAGGAGTGGTGCCCCTGTCCAGGCTAAGGAATAGAGCCAGATGTATGTGATTGCCCGCCAAGACCACGAGAAATCAATCACTCTTGCATGCACAACTCTGATGTAACGTTCATAGGCCAGAACGGTGAGGGTCATGATAGAAACAATTCCTGCAGAAAGACAAAGAAGATAGCACATCATCAGATATTTTATACTGTCCGCTGTATTCGTTTTACCGTCAGGTATGCCACTGTGTTTGGCTTACTTAATTCATCCTGGTCAAGGCAAAGATTTGACAGACTGAAAAGGAAAATAATCTGTTCCTCTTTGTAAAACTATACAGTCACCTCTCCAAACCCATTGATGAATTCTGCATCCATGGATTCAGTCATCCACAGCTTGAAAAAAATCACATCCACTCAAAATGAAAAGTAAACCTTGATTTTGCCCTTTTATACAAGGGGCATCATTTTACTATTCTACTGTAGCACTCAAAGATGATGGTATCCATTGGAATAATAAAACCCCAGCAAATACAAATAGCCCACTGTGGCTCAATTCATGATATGTTACCAAAATACACCTCATCATATACATTTAGTCATGAGTTTGAGGAAAAGATATCTGCATTAAAACTACTTCTTCACGCCTCCAAAAACTGAAAAAGCATGACATGGGATTCTGAGTACAGGCAGTCCCTGAGTTACAAACATCCTACTTACAAATGACTCATAGTTAAGAACAGGGATGAGAGAACAGGAAGTGAGAGAAATCTACCCTTAGGAAGGGAAATTCACTCCTGAGAGAGTTCTCATGGGGGAAAAGGTCTCCACTGAAGCTTTCTCTCCAATTCCTGTTTCTACAAAAAGCCATTTTTTTTTCAAAATCCAATAATTACAGAAACAGAAAATGAGGTGAAATCTTCTGAACAGACAGCAAAACAAACACCACAGGGGTGTTACACCTTCCCTATACTATCCAAAGCTCTCTCTCTGTGTGTGTGTGTGTGTGTGTGGCTGGAGTTACACTTTAAAATGTATCTGTTCTGACTTGCAAGCAAATTCAACTTAAGAACAACTTGGGGACTGCCTGTAATTTTAGAAAGGTATTATTACAATTGAAACATTATGATGGTTAGGAGAACCGACGACCAACATGCTTGCTGTCACTGATTTGTGGAAGACTACTCTGCATGTCTTCATGTGGACACACTCACATTTCAAAAACTCTATTTAAGTGAACCTTAAAGAAGAATAGAATTGTAGAGTTGGAGAATCACAAAGGTCAGTTCAACCCCTGCCATGCAAGAACACACAATCAAAATTCCCAACAGATGGCCATCAAGCCTCTGCTTAAAAACCTCTAGAGAAGGAGCCTTCACCACACTTAAAGGCAGTATATTCCACTTTCAAACAGCTCTTACCATAAAGTCAGAAGATCAGGCATTCACCAGAAGTTCCAAACCTCTCTACTGAGTTTTAGATAATGAATAACTTCTGCATAACCATTAGCTTAAGTTCTTGTTCCCAGATCCATACTGTAAATCAGGCCATCACAGCTAAAATTGAGTAATGGGTTGCACTATTCTGCAACCAGTCTTTAAACAGTTTGTATAACCACGAATTCTCCCATTCTGCAAGTTTCTCAATTACACACCCACCACTAAACTTTAAACTTATAGAACCTCCTAGACCAAGGCTGCACAACATGCAACCCTCCAGATGTTTTGGCCTTCAACTCCCAGCAGCCCTAGCCAGCTTGTCCAATAGCCAGGAATTCTGGGAGTTGGAAGCCAAAACAGCTGGAGGGCTGCAGGTTGTGCAGGTCTGTCTCAACTACATGGACAAAAGCTTGTCACACATATCTTGTGCAACTCTGAACAGTATATCACCCTTTTACAGCTTCCAAGAAAATGAAATTCCTGGTGTAACAGCATTAACACCAGCGTAAAACCACATCAGCATTTAGATCTTAGAATACAGTTGTTCCTGTATTCTCCAAATGCAGGCCTCCAATATGAAGCATAATCATTAACAAATATAGTGGTCAATATTCTGAACACCCTTCTCTAACCTTTTCTATCTTCAAATGTATAATTCTGACTACAACTACCATCATCCTCATCCAACACAGTCTGGTTGAATGTAATAATGGGAATTAGTGATCAAAAAATATATGGGGGTAGCCAAGTTGGGGAAGACTGATTTAAAACAGGCTGAATTATGTTGCTACACTATGTGCTACAGAATCAACACAGTTAGTTTTTGTTATCATAAATTCATGAGAAATAATCTGCAATTGGATGTAATAATTATACATGACAACATAAATTGTTATCATAAACTTATTTTTTTAATCCCATTTATGAAAACATTTAAAAGTTCTGTTTTCAAGCTGTGTAGGAAATTTGCTGCATGAGGAAATAGTGCATGAAAAAAGATGTCATATGTTGCTGTCACGATGCTTATCAAGGGCAGATTAGTTTGAGAACACATAGTTGATTAAGCAGTCATTTACAACAAGGTCTCATTCAAACAGTCACTACATTCACACAGTTCCTTACATGTCAATGACAAGATGAATCATCTTTCTCCATCCATTTGCATGAGCCGAACTGATCAGGGTCCAGGGCTGGATTTAGGGACAGATGACCCAGGTGACTGCCCCTGGCAATATGCCCAGAAGCATCTGTCACAAGCCATCTACTCAACCTCCTTCCTTCAGCTGAAACACATTGTGAAAAGAGCTCATGCAGGCATGAAAAAGTACCTACTTTCAGAGCCTGACATACACATTTACCATCTCACATTGGAGAGATAAAGTGGGGCAGGGATCCGTGTGATTGTAGCTGTAAGAAGGATAAGGTTAAATAATCCTTTGCAATTAACTCCAACAAATGGCTTTCATTAACCAGGAGATATATGCGTATTTGGAGAGACAAAGCTGTGTTTTATGATCAGAGACATGCAGCAATACTACAAAATAAGTGGCCACTTGTTCTGAAGGGCAGGTTGCCTTCTCAGCAGAGAGATGCTTGTCCAGTATAAGCATTTGCCTCTCAAATGACCTGCTGCAAGTATCTACCTCTTAATGCTCCAAAGCCTCCCAAGGCTTATGGTTATGGGAGCTAAAGATAGCCCAGTCTTAAGCAAGAACTGTTCTTTAAGCTTCAATAAAAGCTATGTTCAATTAAATTATGTACGTCAAAAGCAGCTGGCCCATTACCTTCAGCTTCTGAACTTATCCGGTCTTATTTTTCTGCTACTAATCTCTCCCTTTCATGCTATGAATTGTGTCCGTTCTGCATACTCATGCAATAGTCATAGAAATCGGTTCCTGGGTGGTTGCTGTATAAAAGCCTGACAATACCACCCAGCATAGAATGAACAAGCGGAACGGGCACCTTATCTCTTGTAAACTTTCTTTCTGCAAACTAAGATCTTTACAGTCTATTAGTTATCTGCAGCACATTTTGCCCCAAAGAGCAATCCATGAGCTATATTTATACTGCACAATGACTTGGTAGTAGAAATCACTGTCACAGATCTAATTCCTGCAGATAGCTCATTTTTTTCAAAAGCTCTTATTCACAGGGGGATAAAAAGGATTTTACAAGCCAGCTGTATTGACTGTTGTGTGTGTTTTTCTCTCTGAAAGCAGAGTAGGTACAGGTTATACACAGAAGATACACCAAATTTGTACCTCTAGCACTAGATCTATTTTTTAAAAGAGAGCTCCGTCATAATACAGTAGGAATGCGTGTATCTGTTGCGGATTGGTTCCTGGTTGAACTATAGTTACTTGAAACTATGAATATGATAGAACACTATTAAATAATATGACATCTGATCCTGGCATACCATAGAATTGCAATGGAGGACCTAGAGATTGCTAGGGAAAAATTTTCTCTGGGAATATGCTAGGTTCTCCAGCACAACTCTATGGTAACTTCCAGTGGACATATGCTATAGCAGGCATGGGTAAACTTTGGTCCTCCAGGTGTTTTGGACTTCAACTCCCACCATTCCTAACAGCCTCAGGCCCTTTCCTTCCCCCTTTTAAGCTTAAGCGGCTGAGGGGGAAGAGGAAGGGGCCTGAGACTATTATGAATTGTGGGAGTTGAAATCCAAAACACCTGGAGAAACAAAGTTTGCCCATGCCTGTGCTATAGCATCAACTGAAGGACCTAGAAAACTCCATGAGAGACCATATTTTTCCCAGGCATAGATAAGTATAACTGCAAATACAGACTGTGTGGCTACAGAAGTCTTACTATAATTCTTCCATTAATTTCCTCCTACATGTCAATTTTAAATACCCATTTCTCCTATACTGAAATGCCAGTCCCGATCTATGGCACACTGTTGTTAATAACAAGCAACCCAACAATCATTCTTGCCTCTTTGCTGTAAATATTGGAAAGCCATTTCTCTAAGCTTCTCCTGTGCCAATGGCAGTACACACCCAGTATGCTTCCTCTGTTTATGGCACTGGAATGGTTATTTATCCTTATTCTTCCAAAGGAGCAGCATTTTTTTAAAAACAGTAAGCACAATTTTGCCTATTGATAATCTATACATGTCTTATAAATCACAAGTGGCAGCCAGCCAATTATGATGGTGGTGGTGGGTGAAAACAAAAGAAAATTGTATCCCTATGTTCGGATTTTTTGCTATAACTTTTAGGCCTCATTTTCACTTACCTAATCAGACAGCACTTGGGAAGCATCCTAGGGCACCTCCCCACTAGTCTAGTGATGGATGGGCATGTTGCCCATCCCACGAGGCATCTGGCGGAGGCCATGCCAACAACTGGAGTGGAAGCGTCATACAATACTTCCCTCCCAACACAGGAGCCTCCCCATGTTGTACTGGCTCTATTGGATCCAGTACAATATAAATAAAATGTAATGTTCGTTTGTGGGATTAACATAACTCAAAAACCACTGGCTGAATTGACACCAAGTTTGGACACAATACAGTACAGATCCTTGCTGCTCAGGCAATGCTTCCCGCATGTGATGGGGGAAGCAACACCATGAGGGAGTGGCACACAAAGCAACGAATTTGCCTCACTGCCCTTCAGTTTCTTTGGCAAAGTCAGGAGAAGTGTGACGCTTCAACTGGTTCATGTGATAACGTCATAGGTTATATAGTGGCTCCCTTGGAAC